ATGTATTCTGTCAGTGGAGTTAGTATAGTACTTTAATAGTTCTACTGTCTTAGGTACAGGTAAAACCTTGGAAAAATATAAACTCTGAGGTCACATAGAATAAATTAGCAACACCAGAAAAAAATCCCTGTTCATTGCAGCCTAGTTTCTTTTCTAATGCCACCAGATGTCAGTATAACCACAGGACCAGAGAAGTATTGCAGTAGATAAATGGCTTATGAACATTCTTTTTGCTTCATGAAAGAGGTAGGAGAAAAAAGTTTTATACAAATTAGGTATACAAAGCAAAGATTATTTTATTGTTGAATTGTATAGAAAAATGACGAGCATAATGGAGAATAGAGGGCATGTAGAGCTTAAAAAACATAGATACAGTTAAAAATTCATATATAAATCAAACATACTAATTAAATAGGTGACCTCTGACTTTCACCAAAATCAGCAACTGGCTGCTGTAGCTAGAGCTGATGAGCAGCCTGTGATCAAACTGTTCACTACACCCTCACCAACTGTGATGTTTGTCAGTAGAATTACTATCGAAATCTGAGCCTCAAAATGACAGTGCTTCTAGCTTATAGATGTAAAAATCAGTTCACTGCGATTTGAATTAGGTACAAAACTTATCTGCAGTCATTCCCTAGAACACATAGTCACATTAGGCATTTTTCCAAAAGAGCGTTCAGTAGGATAATTACATTTTTAAAAGCCTCTATTTAAAAAATTTATTCTTTAATGAATGCTCCTTCGAAGAATGGAGCATTATTTACTATTCCTAGTTAGAGTTATCACTTACTTATATGTGTACGTCTACCATATTTGTCCCAGATGAGAATCCGACATCGAGTCCATGCTTTTATGAAGTCTTCATGTGGGCCTTGTGACTACTCAGTGTGTTATATGCCTCAACCGAGTGCTGACTTTGGTTAGAAGTTTTATGTGGGTCAAAGGCGCTTTCCAGTTTTTTTATTTCTTCATTTCAAAAATATTTTGTTATGTTTTCCCATATTACTTCTTTTTATTTTCTTCTTTTTTCCTCTAATTTAGGGAGTGGAAAAATTTGTTTCTTCAAAAATATGAAATGTCCCCCTATAAATTATTGTAGGAAACGATGTTTTCATGTCATTCTTGCTATCTTAGACTTTTGTTCTACAGATCTCATCAGTACTATAATAATGACCTGCTGTAAGAGGGACAGTGTCCCTACCCTCAGAGCTCTGGTTTTTCTTTTCTACTGTCTCAGCTGGAGTCTTATAGACAGTACCTGTTTGGCTTGAAGTGAGGAGAGCCTTTCTCTCATATCTCTGTGCCCCGACACTGAGATCTGCCTTCCAAAGTGGGCTATTTTATTTCACCCTTATTCTTGTTTTGTAAAATGTGTTTTTTAATTTACTTCAGAGAGAGGAATGGCGGAGAGAGAGAGATAGAAACATCAATGATGAGAGTCATTGGTCGGCTGTCTCCTGCAGGCCCCCTACTGGGATCGAGCCCGCCGCCCGGGCATGTGCCCTGACCGGGAATCGAACCCCGATCTCCTTGATCCTAGGTCAACGCTCAATCACTGAGCCACGCCAGCCGGGCTCTTCCATATTCTTTATCCTTGGGCTCTGGTCTCTCTTTGATGCTATAGTAAAACCAGATCCTACGGTTCTGCTTTTGTTTTCTCTCTGGGAATCCACATTACTTTTCTAGGTTTTAGCTCAGTGGACTGCTGCACTCTGCTTGGACTATTTCCTCTGCTTGAAGTACTCTTTCCTCAACCTTACCCTTGCTCTGCTTAGACTTTAGCTCACTACACCATAATCAGGAAATGTCCGCAGGCAGAGAGCTGAGGTGATCCTGGGGCTCACCCTACATGTTTTCCTCCTCTTAGGAATCAGCTTTCTCCCTGTTGTTAATGCCAGAAAAAGTCATCTCTGTATATTTAGTCTACTCTTAAGATAGTTTATGGTGGGATGGCTAGTTTAGTACCAGTTATAGTGTTATATCCAGCAGTGTAATCCAAAACTTACTCAGTTTGGAGAGGGAATGTATTTTTAAAAAGAAAACAATCTTATTTTCTTTTAGACATTTTCCCCCCCATTTACCCAGTCACCGATTATTTATTGCCTGTCTTCTGTCTGCGATTGGCACTGGGCATCTAAGGGGGATGAGACACAGTTTCTTTCCTCAAGGAGTATACTTCTTAGATTAGGTGGTCAACAAATAGGAAGCTTGAGTCTGTGTTGTTCTGAATAAACTTTTATTGATGTATAGCATGCATTGTTATGGTATGGCTCCTCCGTCTCCCTCCAATGTGGCAAGTTGTTATATAAGGACAGGAAGGTTAATCCACCTTTTCCTAAGGAGAGGCTTTGGTAGCAGATGTAAGCTCTAAGTACACTTTTGTAAACCACCATTTCTTAATTATTAACCATTAAATTTGCATTATTTTGAAGTAATTAGCAAGAGCTATAAAAATGTTATTTACCTGCTCATGTGTTGGTTTCACTAGAGATGCAGAAATCAGATATCTTAATGCATTTATATTAAAAGTACAAGCAACTTTTGTCTCTGACTTCCATGATGTACTTAATCAAAACAAATTTTTTCAACTTCCGTCTTATAAGGTCAGCCTAACTCATGAAAAACAAACTTATCTTCACTCTGCTTCATATATCACCACTGACAACCTGATAATCTTCAGCTCAGGGTCTGGCTATAGAATGATTTTTGCCAGCAATCGCTGATAATGATGTATGAATTGGATGTGAAACAGATTTTCTTCCTTTTCTATTATGACCTCCATCCAAAATTAGATTGACTTTAGATTGATTATAGAAAAAGAACAGCTTGAAAAACTGTTGTTTTTTCCTAGTAAAATGCCCTTGAATGTTAACTTAGAAATAAGATTTATTCTCGTGCAGTGGTACTACTATCTCAGCCATGGTGGTTAAATTTCTGAAACCTCCCAGGGTAAGAGAATTCTCCATTAAAGAATTTCTGACAGTTCTTATGGAGGAGATAAGCTTTAGTATAAATTCATTATGCAACACTAATAGAATATCAATGGCATGTTACCATCTTCAATAATAATGAGTACATTTATTATTTATTCTATACTTTTAAGTATTTTATTTTTCTATTGTTACATCTATATTAGCATTTTTCAAGTGTGGCCCTTCATCCAAATGTGTAGTGCCTTTCTAATTTTTGATGGAGACTTGTTGATTCCTGCCTCCTACTGCAGTAGAAGATACAGAATAACTATATGCTCTAAATAAAATAAAAAATATTATTTGTTTTTCCCTTCCTGTTACCAAGCACATGAAGTCAGACTTTATACACATCTCTGTTCTCTATCTTTTTATAGATGCTGATATTCATCGAAACTTAGAATTCTAAGAAGTCATTGTAACAGCCTTACACCTACAACATTCACAGTATATCTTATTTACTTAATGGTGTATGTGTATGTGCTTACTTATTTTATTAAGCACTATATAGTTCATAGCAGAATGTTTTGTGGTAGCATTCTGGAAAGTTTAGCCCCACTTGTTTATTCTGTCAACTTAAATAGCATTGTACCTATGTTCACCCTCACTAGGTAGGATTTATAAACTGTTATATGTACATGATATTAGACTACACATATCTTGTGGTAATGTTAAATTAGATATATATATTAAAAAGACTAGGATAATTTGGTGAAACTAGTAAAAGGGCACATGATTCTTAGGTATCTATAAAACTGCACACTATTCCTTCAAAGGATCTACTTTACCAGCATCTTGGGAGCCATTATTTTTTTAAAATTTATTTAATTTTTTTAATTAAGTGTATTGGGGTGACATTACATAGTTTCAAGTGTACAATTCAATAATAATACATGATCTGTATGTTGCATTATGTGCTCACCACTCAAAGTCTAGTCTCCCTCTGTCACCACAAATTTTGCCCTTTTTACCCGTCTTATCCCACCCGCCTCTGGTAGCCACCCTTCTGTTGTCTATGTCTGAGTTTGTTTGTTGCTTTCTGTTTTATATCCTACATATGAGTGAAATCACATGGTTCTTGCTCTTTCCTCTCTTATTTATTTTGCTTAGCATCATACTCTCTCAAGATCCATCTGTGTTGTCATAAATGGCAGTATTTCAACCTTTCTTATGGCTGAGTAGTATTCCATTGTGTATATAAGTACCACGTCCTCTTTATCCAGCCATCCACCGAAAGATACTTAGGTTGTTTCTGTCTTGGCTACCACGCATAGTGCTGCAATGAACATAGGGCTTCATATATCCTTAGGAATAAACGTTTTCAGAATTTTCGGGTAGATACCCAGAAGAGGATTGCTGGGTCATATTGTAGCTCTGTTCTTAATTTCTGGCGGAGCCTCCATGCTGTTTGCCGAAGTGGGAGTCATTAGTTTCAGTTACTATAGTTAAGAAAAATGCATTTCTTTAGCAACACTCTTTAGAAGAGTCCCCTTCTAGTTCAAATAAGCAAGGTTTTTCTGTATTTTTAATTTTAGCAATGATGCTGTTTATGATGGCAAAAATATCTGAGATGCAGAACTTGCAGTGTTGCTCCTTCAGCTCTCAGTAACTTTTCATTTGTGATCAAATGGTAATTATAGGAAACCTTTCAATCCTTTTGAGATTGACCTGTTCATCCCATTCTCCCCTCAGTTGCATTTTTAACAAAATAGAAACATATTGTCTCCATTATCAGAGAGAATAAATGTTTGCTTCTTGCTTCCATTTCCTCTCTCTGTCTTTTAAAATGCAATTGTAAATAATTTGTATGTGCACAGAAAAGATATGTATATCAATGGGTTTGGGCTAAGACAATTGAGATAAGTGTTTTGGCATTGCATAGGGAGTATGTGTTTTGATTTGTTGATAGGAATGATCACAGCATTGTGAGTTTCGAGGTACATAAGTGATGAGAACATCACCAGAGTATCCATTCCTACAAACATGCCTTCTTACTGACAGTAATTTTTTTTGACTGCTATATTGCAGCGGTTGAAAATGGACGGATGGATGTGTTAAGGCTGTTGCTTAGACACGGAGCAAATGTTAATGGATCCCATTCTATGTGTGGATGGAATGCCTTACACCAGGCTACTTTTCAGGTAACTTGTGAATTTATTATTTCATCTTCATGTAAATTGTATATTTCACCCTTTGAAAATGACAGTTCTCTGCAGTTTTTGCGTCCGCCTTGTCTGTGATCTACAATGGCTCGTGCAGCACAGAAAAGGCAGTCTAAATGCTGATGATCATCCTGAATAAACCAGCTGCCCGAGTAGTTTCTGCAGTTTTGGGCCACAGGGATTATCTCAGTTTTTCAAATGTTGATAGCATAGTTTAGAGATCATCAGAATACTTGGGATATAAATTGATAAGGAGCAATGGCTTATTTTATGTATAACAGTGTGTTTAGAAGCTGTGATAACTCCTCAGTGCTTGGGCCAGCAAGCTGTTTTTGCAGGATTCTGTAAGGATTATAATTCCTAGAGAACAGCGTTTCATCTGTTTATGTTTAACGGTCTTGCCAAAGGTATAGAATAATCTTGATTGTTTAATACTTCCTTCCCATCCAACTTTTAAAAACAAATTTTCCTTTAGTGAGGGTAAAAAACAAACAAACAAAACAAAACACAACAATAACAAAATATATCTTTTATTTTCTTTGTTTTCTCTTATTTAAAATATGAACCTGTGCTTTAGGAAAATGCTGAGATCATAAAGTTGCTTCTTAAGAGAGGAGTAAACAAGGAATGCCAGGATGACTTTGGAATCACACCATTGTTTGTGGCTGCTCAGTATGGCAAGCTAGAAAGTTTGAGCATACTTATTTCATCGGGTAAGATTAATCCATTAGCCTTTGCTCGTGTAATAAGATCATGAGTTTGAACTGTGTATCTTCTTAGGAAGAAGAATTCTTGACCAGATATAAATCAGGTTGTGAAATTTATGTTTTTATGTTAGTGGTAAATAAGAGTACATACAAGTTGATTTATAAGCCTGGTTACTGAGTGTCTATTACTAACATAATGCAATGTACAGCTACTAATTTATCTGAGGAGGAACATAATGATCTGTCACTAAAACAAGCTTATTGGAAACTGAATGATGGGGCTGCCCTTTCTTATAGGGACCTGAGCAGTTCCAACTTTCTAGGGTAGAAGACTATATTAAAATTAATTAATTTATTAGGTAGCTATTTTGTATATTAAGCCTTTGAGTTGTATGTTTTGATCAATTGTATAATTATTTAAATGGGTTTATTTCAAATTGCGTTTATACTTTATTATGTTAATAGCAACCAAACCTGCTGAAGTTTTCTCCTTGACAACTGTTACACATTCGGTATTGTCAGAGAAGATGGTGTTGGGGTGGCATTCTTACTCTGTGTGACACTTCTGTGACCAGAAACATTTGTTATGTAGGGCTTTTAAATTTCTCCAAACACTGCCTATGCCCTAACCTGATGAAGTGTAGATAGTTTAGAGCAGAAGGGAAATACACCAGTTTTGCCATCAGGCAAGTTAAAATTTTTTTTAAAAATTATACTAAATATCAATTTTTAAAATACTTTATGCTTTTCATAGACTTCCTATAATACCTGGGCTTTTAATAAGTTACCTTCAAATATACAAAACAAAGTTTATTTAGACAGCAGGGCACGTATTTTCTAATTTTTAATTTCTCTTTACAAATCTTCAAATACTAAAGTTGAAGTAGGAAGCAAAAAAAACAGTAAGTGCCAAATTACAATGTCTGTTACAGATATGAGTCTATAAATCTTAGAGTTGAGGGGAATCTCCAATATTTTATTTTATTTTATTTAAAAAAAATTTTTTTCCCCCATCGCCATTTATCCCCTCTGTGCCCTCTTCCACACCCCTCCCCCCCATCACCACACTGTTGTCCAGGTCCACGAGTTCTCTTTTTTTTCTCCTCCCCCCCAAATAATTTATATAAACATGTGTTTTTAGATTGTGAATTCCAGGCCCTGAGTGTTTAAGTGTCTTGCCAAAGATCTGGAAAGTATTTCTTGGCAGAATCAGGACTTGGACCCAGGCCTTCTGACGCTCACCTTCCTCCTTCTACATTGTGTCTTCCTGAGGACTGTCCTAATTCATTTTATGGCTTTCAGTCCCATAAATTCCAATTATTAGTGTGTAGTTCAGACTTAGAATAAAGTAGGTTAAACTGCACCTTGCTTACTCCCCTCATGCCAAGCCCGTCTCCTGGATGCTAAGCAGCTATTGTTTTGCTGTGTTCTTTTTTTTTTCTTCTCTCCTCTGTGAATAGTTAAGAACAGCACATTGAAAAGGTATGTTTATAATATAACTATATGTTTCTAACTCCTTAAAATGACTTCTCTTTCAGTGAATTGTCTGTCATTTTTTCTAACTTTTCTACCTATAATCTCACAGGGACTGGTTCCTTCTTCTGATACTTTGAAATTGTCAATCCAAATGAAACATTGCTTAAAAAAGAAAGTTAAGTAGGTTTCTTTCATGACAGTCTTTTCTCAGTAATAGTGTCCACTTCTTTCTGAGGCTGATAGTAGGTCAAGCATCACCTTGTATTAAGTTAAGATTCTACTTGTCTAGACATATTGAATGTCCAGTTGGAATTTCTAAACTCATTTATGTTTTGCATAGCTTATACCCATCTCATGGCTTTGGTTTATTAAAGGTGTATTTATGGGATAAAAAATAGTTATTTTCCCTTTGGTAATGATGATTTTCCCACTGAGATACATTCCAGAAATTTTAAAATTCTCACTGTTATGTAACAACATTATAGTTAGCATATTTAACATGTGAATTGTCACTGAGAAAAGTTTGGGCAAGTGTGGCTGCTATTTTCAAAACCTCTACAAATATGAGGTCACTTTCAACTTCTTCATATCTTAATATACCAGTATCTAAATAATCGATTAGATTTATGCTTTTAAAAAATCAGCTCAGAAACCCATTTAAATAGAACTCTTTCTTTTTAGTGTAGGCTCTGTCATGCATTGGTTGTGAAGAGAAAGATGTAATAGTTAATATTAGTTTTAAGGCACAGCCCATGTATGTCATTGACTGAAATTTTTTTTTTCCATAAAACTTAGCCTGAATTAATTAGTGGCATCTACAAAGGTTCAGAATTTAGGTTTTTTTCTTATCTTTTTCAGTAATTATCAGAAATGTTATCCATATTTGATGGTTTGCCTTTTACCTCTTTAAATGATTATTTATTAGAACAATAGAGTGCTTGTTGGAGGAGGGATTGGAATGAAATGAATCCTTCATTAACTGAGAGTTTTGTTTTAACTTAAAAATGAATTCTAGCCTGGCCGGCATGGTTCAGCAGTTGACCATCGACCTATGATTCAGGAGATCGTGGTTCTATTCCCAGTCAGGGCATATGCCTGGGTTGCAGGCTTGGTTCCCAGTGGGGGGCATGCAGGAGGCAGCTGATCAATGACTCTCATCATTGATATTTCTAACTCTCTCTCCCTCTCCCTTCCACTTTCTGAAATCAATAAAGATATAAAAAAAATGAATTCTAAAATTGTTTTCTTGCCAAAATAAAAGCAAAAGTAATTTAAATGATTACCAGCAAGTTACATAAATCAGCACGTGTATACAGCAGTACCCACTGAGGGGAGAAAACTTTTGTACAGTTGACCCTTGAACAATGTGGGGATTAGGGGCTCTAACAACACCCCCTCTGGGCACAGGTTGAAAATCTGCATGTAACTGACTCCCACAAAACTTAACTACTAGTAGCTTGTAGTTGGCCAACAGCCTTACTGATAACATTAACAGTCGATTAATACATATTTTTTATTTTATGTATTATACACTGTATTCTTACAATAAACTAAGCTAGAGAAAGGAAATGCTATTAAGAAAGTCAAAAGAGAAAATACACTGACCATATTATATTGTATTTATTGATATCGTAACCTTACATCATCTGTTTACAAGATGGAAAAAAATCCGCATGTAATTGGACCTGCACAGTTCAAACCTGTATTGTTCAAGGGTCAAACCCTTTAAGGGAAGCTGCTTTGAAATTTATGTTCGTTATCATGTGTGGGGTTTTTTGTTTTGTTTTTTTAATCCCATAAACGAGGATCATCTGTTAAATGTTTTATTTTGTATTAGGTGCAAATGTCAATTGTCAAGCCTTGGACAAAGCTACTCCCTTGTTCATTGCTGCTCAAGAGGGCCACACAGAATGTGTGGAGCTTTTGCTGTCCAGTGGGGCAGATCCTAATCTCTACTGTAATGAGGACAATTGGCAGTTACCTATTCATGCAGCTGCACAAATGGGCCATACAGAGTAAGTGTTAAAAATTGGATATAAAAATGATCTCATAATTAAAAGATAATAAGGAATAAGTCTTCTGGGCCAGGCCCATTACCTCCAGACAGAATCCTTTGCTATTCTCTTCTCAACCAAACTGCTAAGTAACTAGATCCACCCCCACATCTGATCCTCTTAGTCATGCACTTTACTAGTGTAAGGCAGGCACAGTGGCTTGAAATGGGACAACCCCAGGGGCTTTCTCAGGGTGTTAAGTCTTCCCCCTGATTTCTCAAGCTATGGCCATACTCTTCCACTGTTCTCCAGTTTTATCCCAGACTTCTTTAGTTAGCTATCTCATGGCCTTCTTCAACTTATTTACCTTACCTCCCTGATCCCAGAAAGCTTTTGAGTTTGTGACCCCTGTTGGAGTTGTCCTCCTTTTGTGTGGTCTGGGCAGTTCTCCCATCTTGAACCCTTTGATTAGACTTCTGTTTATCTAATCTTAAGTCCAAACCAGTCCTTTTCCCTGCTTATATTACTCTTCTTATTTTCCAGAAGTTCTCATGAAATTTGGGGTATTTTCTGGAGATTAGAAGATGGTTGGAACTCCCTGAAATTGGAAGCTAATAATTTGGTTATACAGCAGCTTATCTTAACATAAATTGGCACTGAATGGGTTTTTAAAATATATGCTTGAAGTCTTTAGAGCCATAATTCTACAGTTATAACTTTATAGTTATTGTTAGTATTATTTAATGAAAAAATAATAGTGGAATTGTCATTAGTATGTTTGCACAGTAGGAAAACAGATTCTGCAATTTGGTTATTATGCCACTAGATGGCATGGTATTTTACTGTTTGTGCCTCCTCGAAGAGTGTTTTTCCAACCCATTAAAAAAAATTAAACACATTTATTAAGTTTAAGACATTTAAACAAATTCTTTATTTTAACACAATATTTAGGTTTTAAAATTTGGTATTTTTCTTAATTCTTGATTGTTTATTTAAGTATTAATCTTAGATACAATACTGAACTTTAAATTGATACCAAAGCCCTCTTGGGAATTTTCCTTCATTTATTCTCAATTTTGAAAATTCTCTTTGTCACTGATGATTTCCTCCATGGACTATGGAGGAAAATTGAAGAATGTGAGCTCTTCAATACTATTATCATCTTAGGCCTACCTTACATAAAGAAAAGTATCAGAGAAAGAATGTACTTTGGAGTAGGCTTGCCTTTCTTTTCCCAGAAAGAGGGAGGATTTCTTGGCTTTAGTTTTATTTTTAATTTTAGAAAAGTAGAGTAGTCCTTTCTCTCCAGCTGACTGCTGGAGGTAAGCTTACAAACAATCTAAGAACTTCAGTTTTAATGATTTTCTTTAGAACTTCCTCTGTTTATCAACCAATTTCTTTATAAACCTGCCTCAGTGGCTTAAGAGCTCATATTCTTTTTCAGAGAATAAATATTTTAGCAGAAATTCTGATTTCTTCCTGATGAAAATGCTATTTGTTTTACATTACTTACCACTTAAAAAAATTCTTATTAATTAGAAAAATAAAACATTAGAAGGAAAATAATTTATTTCTTGATACAAGTTTATATTTGCTACAAAGAAGTTTGAAATAATTGATTAGATCCTAAAATATTTAACATAAAATTTGAAGTTTGGGGAGTAAGGGCATGGTGGTAAGATAAATAATTACTGAAAAAATAAGAAAGGACAACCTGTTACCTACTTATTTATAGGAACAATATCTAATCCTTTTAAGATATATTTAAAGACCTTTGTATTAAGCAACAATAATAAGTATAACATTTTGGAATATATAGCCTGTAATAATTTAATATAGGTAGAAGCTATACTGAAGACTTACTTGTATTAAGTAAATCAATGGGTGACAAAATGTATGCTGTAGAAATGTTATGTATACTTACGTGCATATAAAAACATTAAATGCTTCTGTATTTGTGTACTTGCAGAATCTTGGACTTGCTGATACCACTTACTAACAGGGTCTGTGACACTGGGCCAGACAAAGTGAGCCCTGTGTACTCCGCAGTGTTTGGAGGGCATGAAGAATGCCTAGAAATGTTACTCCAGCGTGGCTACAGCCCCGATGCCCAGATGTGCCTTGTCTTTGGGTTTAGTTCTCCACTGTGTATGGCTTTCCAGAAGGAGTATGTATATTTGCTATTTTTTATTCTTTTTCTTCCTATGTGGAGATATATTTCCAACTGACTTTCTTTTATGATGAAGCTTAATATTTCTTAGTGCTAAATTGCTAACTAAAAAACAGAAAAAACCCCTCTATCATGCACCTTGTTTAATCAAAGTACAGTAAAAATGATGTGTTAATGTTAGATTTTTTTCCCCTTCCCTCTTTGGATCTGGATTATATTTTTAGTGTGGCAATTTTAGAGAATACTTTCATAGTATTAAATAAATGCAGGAATTCTCTCAAATCCTTTGTCTCCAAAACAGTTCAAGAATTAAAACAAACTCTCACTTATGTGATGAATATGAGGACCTAATGTATAACATGATGACTAATAGTTGATAACACTGTGTGGTATAATTGAAATTTGCTAAGAATAGAACAAGTTTTCTCACTAAAAAAAAAAAAGTAAATATGTGAGGTGATGTATGTGTTAATTCAGTAGAAGGATTTCTTTTACAATTGTACATTTATGGCATCATCATTTTGTACACTTTCAATATCTTACAAAATAAAACTGTAAGATATTGAAAGTGTACAAAATAATGATGCCATAAATCATCAATAAAGCTGGGGGACGGGGGAAGAATTAAAAGGGACTTTATCAAATAAGGCATTGACAGTGTTCCAGGTTATTTACTAATTGAAATTGATATTTACAAGACTTTTTATAAGCCTAAAAATAACTTGTAGATTTTATTGTATTTGTAGCATTTTTTTATGTAAGTCAGAGTTACTAAATTAAAAAGTTTTAAGAATATTTGATAATCTGCCATGATCCTGTGAAGTAGAAGAAATGAATTACTGCTGTTTCATTAGCTTCTGGCTAATACTTGAATATAAAGCTCCTAAAGTTTGTTTTTTTTTAAATTTATCTTTATTGTTGAAAGTATTACAAATGTCCCCCTTTTCCCCCCATTGATCCCCTCCCCCCC